ATATACACACTAAGGTCTGAAATGCATGGTATACACACATATACATAAGCATTTGTTATGGATCAGGCCCAGGAAGATGCAAGCTGGCATCTCAAGAGCTACCGATCCACAGTCCGTACTTTTGGGTACAAATCGGAACTTCAACTGGCGACTTTTCTGTGATTCCAAGCCGAGTTACCCTACAGACTGATACTGCAGCGCCTATGTATACTAGTTATAGTGTAAATTCTTAATGACACATCCCTGCAGACAGTTAGAGGTTTGGAACCTTTGAGAGGCATTACAGTGCACATTTCAGGGTTTCTATTAGGGATTTTGGGTTCAAATAGAACATGTTTACATGCATTAATGTTCATCTGAAAAAGTCTAGCTGAGCTATACATGTGTTTACCTTCTGTCTGAGCCGTCTATTTAACACTGTTAAAGAATATGGTGCACCTTTGCACAGTGTTAAGTATAAGTTTACTGTATACTCAAATGGGGCGACAGTATATTTAAATGAGTCTGATCCATCTGACGGAAGGGATTATATCCAGCACACACACCCTGCCTGGGGTTCAGCTTGTGGGATGTGCCGACTAGCCGCCATAAGGTACTTTTGTCCAACCATTACTACCCTTTTTGGAACCATGGTGGACTGAGGTTTCATCTGTATTTATTACGAATGGATGACACAAGAAGCCTCCCCCCCCCCCCCCCCACACCAAAGCCACCACGAGAAGAGGTGGGAGATCTTTCATCAGAGTTTTCAGTCTGAGTCCCCCCCCCCCCACAGCATGACTGACGACTCACCACAAACATGACCTCACAAGGCCTCAGGCTCCACCACACACACACACACACAGCCACACACACACACACACACCACCACACACACACACACACACACACCACACACACACACACACACACACCACACACACATACCATACATAGGAGGTACCTCACATGAAAGATTAGATATGCAGTAGATCACAGTTTTATTCTTCAAAACATCTTTCTGTCACATGATTCTTGTAATATTTGTCATACAATAAGCATGCCATGGGACTTTAAAATTAGGCAGTTTTGCCTAATA